GAAGATCACAGCCCTTTGACTGTAGAGCACTTTAGAGTATGGTCCAACAGGTCCCTTTCTACTGTTGCCTTTTAGCAACTAATATGGTAAATATTTTCTCATCTAATGGACAATCATATTGTAGCCTGAAATCACTCCAGTAGTTTGAAATCCAATGGGAGTGCATGTGCGTGCATGCGTGTGTGTGTGTAGTGATAAAAAGGCGAATGTTTAATATTTTTAAAAAATTATATATTATATGACATTGTCAAGAACAATGGCATAAGTGTGTTTGAAGCAAGGGAGAGTTGTGGGTTTTGGGGGGGATTTTTGGTTTTTTGTTTGTTTTGGCAGAACCAGTGATTAAACTCAGACCCTTGCACTTGCCAGGGATCACTTATTCCACTGAACCATCTCCCTGGCCCCTAGGGAGAGTATTTTGAAGGGAAGTAATGGCAGTGTGCCTTTTATGTAATATGTTTTTTTAATTCCTACACTCATCATATTTTTCAGTCACCCCTTGTATATGGTAGGAAAACCAAATGGTACAAATAGGTACTTCCTTATCCCATTGATTGTTAATAATTTGTAGGTATTAACTTATCAACCCCTCTCCTTATGTGGGGAGGCTGCTTTTCTGAATTGCATGTACCCATTCAATAATAAAAAATTAAAGAACCACAGAGATATAATGCACAACGCTCCATTTGACCATGCCATATCCTTCTAGGTATCTTCCTCAAAGAGTTAAAAACATAGTGATCCATGCATACCTATGTTTAAAGCAGCATAATTCATAATAACTAAATCTTGGAAGCAGCCTATATGTCCATCAACAGATGAATAGATACAGAAAACGTGGTATTTATATACTATGGAGTACTACTCTTCCTTGAAGGATAAACTCAAGTCATTTGTTGGAAAATGGGTACATTTTGAGACAGTAATGTTAAGGGAAATAAATCAGGCACATAAGCATAAATGTCGTCTGATTTATGAGAAACTCAAGTAATAAAAAGCAAAATAAAGGATAGATAACAGGAAGCAAGGAGATAATCTTTCTCAAATAGGATCCAGAGATGGGGAGGGAAGAAGGGATGAGAAAGGATTAAGATGTGTTACATACATACACCAACTCTACCCAAGGAGTATAAACATTATGTATTGCATACATGTACTAATTGAAAAGAAATAGCTAGGGGCTGGGGAGATGGCTCAGTGGCATAAGCATTTTCTTGGCAAGCACAAGGGCCTGAGTTCAATCCCCAGTTCCACCCCCCCTAAAAAAAATTAAATGTCTAAAAATAACCTTTTCTAATAATTTTATCCTATTTGCCAAAAGGGCCAAGTAAATATTTTGAAAGATAGTGCATGATCTCTTAATAATTTGTGGAGTTGACAATTGAGGTATTATTTTGTCTAAAAGTGATCATTGAATTTTATGGAGATGGGGGAGAATAGAATACATAATGATATAAAAATAAGTATAAGAAATAGTTAAAGAGTATAATCTAAGACATCTTAAAGTAAGTATCTTCGCTTTTTTCCCAATCACATCAACAGCACAGTTAGAAAAGTTTAGTTGGGTGTGGTAGAGCACACATACCATCACTTTTAGGAGACTGAGATAGGAACATTCCAAGTTCAAGTCCTGCCTAGGCACCTTAATGAGACCCTGTTTCAAAACAAAAAATGTAAAAAGGAGTTAGAGATTGAGATCAGTGTGCAGCTCTGGGTTCAGTCTTTTCTTTTAATTTTATTTTATTTTGAAGAGTAAAAACAAGCAAAAACAAAAAAGACAAACAGGGTAACATACAACAATATGTGTGTTATCAATTTTCAAAACAGGTATAGCTGATTAACAATGGTTGTGATATTATCTACTTTTATCATCAAATCTGTTTGGGTTTAGTCTTTGGGAGGAAAAAAAAAAAAAACACTTCGGCACTGTGTTTGCCTATGCGTTATTTATGACCTACTAAGCATTAACAATTACTATTGTGTATCTTTTAACCTTTCAATTATCGGTGTCTTTACAATAAACATGTAAACTGAAACATTAGCAAAACATTTAGCATCTTCGAAGAAATATGCTTTGCATATATAGTCATCCCTTAGTGTCTGAACAGCTTTGCTCTTAGGAGCCCCCCCCCCAGCTTAGATAACAAAATTTGAGGCTATTCAAGGTTTTTGTATAAAATGTGTAGCAAATCGTATTTGTATAAAACCCATGCATTCTTCCATGTATCTTATATCATCTTTAGATTACTTATAATGCCTAATACAATCTAAATGCTATGTAAATAATAGCTGTTATAATGCACTGTTTAGGGAATAATGACAAGAAAAAGTCTGTACATATTCTATACAAACACAACTTTTAAAAGTATTTTCAACTTGCAGGCACTGAAATCTGAGGACGCAGAGCCCACAGTTATGGAAGGCTGATTCTAGTGAATTTTTTTTTCAAACAAGAAAACTTTATTACAAGCCCCTCTTTTTGCCATGGAACATGCTTTTGCAGCTTGTTGAACACATAGCTTCTTGCTTCCCCTTCTAGTGAATTTTCTTAAATAATTTAAACCTTCCCCATCAAGTTCTACAACTTTTAAAAAATCATTTTCTGAAATGCTTTAAAATATTTTAAACATATTCTTTATTCCTTAGATTAGAAGTTCAAACTCTCCTTGGTGAAATAGGGTAATCATTTTCCTGTAATGTGTAAACCACTTTTGTCAGATTTTAAATTTTAGGGCCAGCCAGATAGCTCAGTGGGTAAAAGCACCTGCTTAGGCAAAGCACATCAGCCAGGGTTCAATCCCTAGTGCTGTGTCAGCCCCGCCCCTGGGGCGTGCTGAGACAGCGATTGAAACTGGGCATGGTGGCACACTCCTGTAATCCCAGCTCGTGGGAGGCTGAACACAAGGGGATTACTACGAGTCTGATCTATGAAGTGAGACCCTGTAGACCCTGTACAAAAAAAATAAATTTTAATTGATTCTATCTTTAATTACCAAGCTACAAAAATGCCTTTGCCACTGATCTGATATAGTGATTTATGGATTCAAGTAAGCCCCACTCCTGTTTCCTCCTTTATTCTCTTTAATAGTGTTATTATTAGCCCTGAATCCTACTCACTTGACCTGTTTGGAGTTACGTGGTAAATTAGATTTTATGAAGGCACTAAGTGAGGTTGTAGGAAGTCAAACTGGCTTGTGGTCCCGTTAGTTACTTCATTTTCTCATCTGGAATATGGGAATAATAAAAGCTACCTCAAAGGATTGGTGTGACAGGTATGAAAGAAATGCGACAGAAATGGGTCTCCCTCTATGCTGTCCCGTTGAGGTTCATTCCTGGGCATGATCACTGCAGGTCCTATGATACAATATATGCTAGTTTCTTTTGTTTATCATTTTCCAAAATGATATGTGGGTTTCTTAGTACTTTTCAAAGGTGGATAAAAAGAATATGTGTGGGTTATTGTTACAAAGTCGTAGATTTAAGCCATTACAGTTACCTTTATTTGATAATCAAATTGTTCTATCTTTGATCATTGAGAGCTTATAGATCATATTTAGCCCCCTTAGACTTTTTGATATAATTCTAGTAGTCTCTGACAGCTTCTTTGCTTTCTGGTATGATTGACTGTTCTGTGCTCATCCTGTGCATTTTCTGCCTCAAACATGAAATAAATCAAAAGCCATGATTCACCATAGTAGGAATCCAATTTTAGAAATGATCTGGGTGTTCGGATTGCTCGTTGCCACTGGGTAGATTCTGTTTCTAAGCCTTTTGATTGGACAGGAAAAAAATTAAGATTAAATCCAGAGATGAATCCAATAATTCCAGTTGATATTTAGGACTGCATGGTGTTTACATAAACATTCTTATATCTGTATGTCTGTCTCCATGCCAGAAAATCTGTTTTTCAATGACACTAGCCTGACTACTAATTGCTTTATTTCACACTACTTACATAATAACTTCAGGATAATAGCACTAGTATTAGCACCAACTAAGGTTGTTTTAAAAAATGTTTGCAGCTTTTATTGTCTTTAGGCTATATACCATTATAAGTAAGCTATCAAATTTCTGAGTTTTAAAATCATTCTGAATAGTTCCTTTCTTCAACCATTTGTATGTTTATCTAGGTATCATTTGTACCATATTATTAATTTTATCCTTTTGTTAGTTCCATTTACCCTAAGGTTCTAATTAGTGTTCTCCCTTGGTTTAATGTTTTCCCTTTGTAGTCTGCTTTTTTATAACAAGGAATATAAAAATAGTTATGAAAATAACATTTGAAGTAAATAAATGTGGATTTAAAAGTAGGTATATACACAAAATATTTCCTTACTTTGGAAACTTAGAGATCCTAGAAACAATAACACCCCAGTAGCAATGAGCTTATAATATCATTTCCCCAATAAAAGAGACTAACACTTACTGGAGAAATGACTGATTTGAAGGCTGGGGAAGAAGAAAAGATGAGCCAAGAGAATTTTGTAGTGCCAGATAGTAAGGAAGTGCTCAGATATACATATATGCATGATACACCCAAACAGTGATGGAGGGATGTGAAAGGGCATAGGAACTAACTGAAATAGGTACCAGTGACCATAGGTAGAATAATTTGAACAATAAAATAAATAACATAGTGTGGGCCTTGTGATAGAAATTATAAAACAGATTTATCTGTAAGTCCATAGTGATATGAGTAGTAATTCATTACATAGGGAGAATAAATAAATCTCAATGAAGAATACCACTTACCCTCAACGAGGTAGAGCATAACTTCTGTGTAGGCTATGCATAACCTTTCCAAAGAGTACAGTCTGGAAAGAAGAGTGAACAAATAGCTTTATAGTGGAGAAACTTGATAAACAGCTCTTTACCTAAGTGATTATAACAAGGTTAGTGATCAGTCATGTTGTGTGTGATGACCTACACACATTTTATGGATAGACTTAAATACTGTATTCTGTTCTTAGATATTAATAGCTCTTTTTTATTTCCTACAGGATTGGCTGCTGCCAAACTATTGTCTGAACATGAACTTAATGTTTTGGTTTTAGAAGCCAGGGACAGAGTAGGAGGAAGAACATACACTGTGAGGGTAAGTGATTTTAATATTTATATACAATATCTCACTCAGAACTACAAGTGGGACCAGTGGAAGTCAGAGCACTGGAGATTTTAAACATTTAATCAGTTAAGCCATTTGTTCTCCATAATGTTAATGTATACCATCAAATAAATGATGATTCTCTTCAACAAGCTCTCACTGAAGAGGGGCACCTTCTGATCTTCAGGTGCATATGTTCTGATGAAGGCTGTGTCATTATTTCTGAAGTAGAGACCTAAGTCAAATGTGTATATCATTTGAAAGTATGGCTCACCTATACTGGAAGTGACTGTGTACCCCCAACGTACACATATGTATATGTATATACGTGTTTGCTGTAAGTTCCTTGTTATATGGCTTGAAAGAAATGTGTCCAGAGGAATCAGCAGCAAATATAGCATATGTTTATGTAACTTTTCCCTTGTTCTCTTTGCTCAGGTCAGGTATCACTAGGTATGAAAAGGAAGTGAGTACTTGCTGTATCATTGTCTTGTTATACTCGGATTTACATCACCATTCTGGAAAAATGCATGCTAATTATCCTTCACTCCTTACTTGTTTGTAGATAAATCTCTGAGAGCTGATAGAAATGGACAAGGGGAGGATGTAAGGTGGAAAGGAAATAGAACCAAAGATGAAGATTGGGGAGGATGTAGATGAAAGGGAGACAGTGGCAAAGGATCCAGAGAGAAGCCATAGAGGAAGAGAAGAAAGACTAGAGTAGAACAGTGCTGTAAATCAGTGAAGGAAACAGGAAAGGTCAAATGGCACAGGATAAAGGTGGGAAAAATGCTGCTATGTTCAGTATTTAGAAAATCATTAAACAGACCCTTTGCTAGAGCACACAGAAAAAATGATAAGCCTGAGGATTGGCAGAAAAGAAAAATCCAGATAGTTGAAGTGACTAGAAGGAAAGAAAGCAGCCATATAAGATGTTTTAATTAGAATAGTAACAGAATGGCCTATATAGTGACAATAACATCTACATAATTTAGTCATAAGAAAATTTCACAGAAAACGTCTGGTGGTAGATAGTCCAGACTGGTATAGGGCTCTAGCTTTGTCCTCAAGCTTTGAGACTCTTACTGTCTTGCTCTGCTATTCATTGCGTGCTGGTTTATTGCATTTTGGTAATAAGATGAATGTTGTAACTCTAAGCATCCAGTCATCATTCAAGGCAGGAGGGAGAATGAACTAACAGCATCAACCTTGTTTGTGACTTCCTTTACCAAATGACTCTAGCAGACATTTACTTTTGTTCCATTGGGCACACTTGAGTCACATACTACTGTCAACTGGAAAAAAACCAAGGAAAGCAAGTATTTAACATTTCCATGCTGCAGAGTGGAAGTGGGCATGGGAAAGAAAATCTGATATTGCAATAGCCAACCAATACCACCTGAACTAGAATAATGCACTAGCTCTTTCACTTATACCATGCAATACACACTTTCTGTAATTTGAATTCTACCTCATCAGGTATATGAGGTCATTGGCCTATTTCCACTTTGCTCAGCTCTAAGAGTATTTTACAGCCTTGTTATGCAAAGTATGGTCTATGGACATACAACCTTAGAAACACCTGGGAATTTAATAGAAATGCAGAATGAAGGTCCTGTCCCAGACAGCCTGAATTTGAATGTGTAGTTTAATAAGATCTATAGGGGAAAACCACAGAAATGCTACTTTGTAGTATATGTGTGCCTGCTTACTATAATTTAATGTCAGTTAAGATTAATTTTAGTCAGACAATTTCTGTATGCTTTATTAAATGTATTCTCTAATTGGTCTGGGAGTGAGGAAACCAGTATTGTTTTTTCTTTTTTCTTTTTTTTTTTAGATAGGGTCTCACTCTAATTCAGGCTGGCCTTGAACTTACATGTAGCCCAGGCTAGCCTCAAACTCATGGCAATCCTTGTGCTTCAGCCTCCCAAGTACTGGTATTACAGGCATGTTCCACCACACCCAGCAGGAGACTAGTATTCTAACCTCTGTACTGGTCTGACATGCCATCTTGGATAAGTCCTGTGGGCACTTCACATCCGAGTTCTCATTTGGGCAGTAAGATACAATCCAAATACGCTCCAAGAAACTCTATTCAAATTCCACTTGAAGGCATTGTGTGGTGGTGCAAAAGAAAGGCTGTGTAGTCCACTTATATGCCTTAGTAGATTTTTTTCTTATGTCATTTTCTGCAAATTTTCAGAAATATCCCTTAATTTTGGAGATAGTTATTAAGCTGTCCCTGGCCTTATTCTTATCTCTTAAAAACCTTTTGCTGATTGAATAGGAACATCAGTCATGTTAGAGATTTTCAGTTAAGAACAAGTTATTTTGTATAAGGGAAATTAGAATTCATCAAGCTTATCCCAGTCTATGTTATTGGCCTAGGCTTCTTAGCCATACTGCATCATTTATATATGTCAGCACCAGACAGGAACTACTCCTGGTTAGTGTGTATTCAGCATGATGTTAAACATCCCTTAAATATATGAATGAGAAAGAGATCTTAGAAATGGGCACTTAACATTTAAATTTCAAATGAGTAGAAAGAGAAAAAACCTTTAAGAAGAACAAAAATAACATTGAGTAAGAAGCTGTATAATAATATGCAATGTATTAATTATTGTAACTCCTACTAATCTGTTCTGAAACTGTTTTATTGTTACTTTTTTCCCTTTAAAATAAAGCTGTAGGGGCCAGGGAGATGGCTCAGTGGAATAAGCGCTTCCCTGGCAAGCGCAAGGGCCTGAGTTCAATCCCCCGGTTCCGCCAAAAATAAAATAAAATAAAATAAAATAAAGCTGTATTAGCTTTCCCATTGCTTGGGCAGAATACCTTGACACCCACAATTTAAGGAGGACAACTTTATTTTAGCTCATGTCGTAAGAGGATTCATTCCTTGGTAGGCAGTCTCCGAGACAGAAAAAGTATGATGGAAGTACCTGGCATAGGAAAGCTACTCAACCCATAGCAGCCAGCCAGGAAGAAGATGAGGGTAAGGAGCTGGGAGCTAGAACACACTCTCCCAGGACAAACACTCTAGTCTCTTCCAACCAGGCCTCATGTCCTGATGTTATATTCTGCTATGAACTTATCAATGGACTGTTCCACTGATGTGTGTAGTACCCCCATGATCCAGTCACTTTCCAAAAGCCCTACTTCTGAACATGTGAGATGGAGAGGTATGTTTGACATCTAAACCATGATAGAAGCATAATCAACTATTCAATCCCTGGTTCTGAAAAAAGAAAGAAAGAAAGAAAGAAAGAAAGAAAGAAAGAAAGAAAGAAAGAAAGAAAGAAAGAAAGAAAGAGAAAAGAGAAGACAAAGAAAAAAGAAGCATAATTAACTATTGTTATAAGTCCTTCTAACAGCATAATTAATTAGAATAGTTTTTGGAGAAGATGCCACAAAAACTATTTTGGATCTTTTTTATTATTATTTTAATGAGGAAAAAAAAGCAATGAAACAGTTTCAAAACAGGTTAGTAGGACAGTTAAAATAATACATTTCATATTGTCTTCGTAGTAGTTATTCAGAGGACATGATGCAGACATGATAGCTTGTCTAAATAATATTAGTACAAACCTTTCTTCTCATTCAACTAAGAAAAAGTAGTTGTATATCTATCCTATTTTAAAAGTTAAATTTTTAGTTACATAGGTCTTGTTTTAACTTGGTATTAACCATCCAGCAGAAAAGAGTAACCACGAGGTATAAAAAGTAAAGCCATATTAATATGCTGAGCTGTAAAAGGTTCAACTCAACAACTTCCGACAATTGCCAGTTCTGCTGGTAATCCACTACTATTATGGTCTATTGGACTATATTGGGTTATTTTGCTGAATTCAAGTACCTGCAATATTTGAACTGGCATGAAGTATGAAAAGGTCCTTTAAAGACTTCTCCAAATACACCTTCTCTGACAGCAATGGAACACCCATCTCTGACAAAACAAAAAAGGGTATATAAATGAAGGACCATTTTGTATTTTAGATCTTTAAGTACCAAAATGTCAAATTTGGTATTGTCACCTGACCATTATTCAGATAGATTTTTCAGTGGTTCTCTGATGTTTCCTAATGCAATCCACCCACAATGCTTCAGATTCAATTTTAATTTTTTTTTATTTTTAAAAGAGTGCAAAATAGTATTACAACAGAAAAATTGCAAGTGATATAGAATTTCACTTAACAAAATAATATAAATTTCACAGTATTGTATAGTGTTGTCTTCCAACTAGTTTTTTGTAGTACCAGATATATGCATGCAAAATTGGAAGAAAGAAATATATAAGAAATTAAGAACAGAAGAAGCATAAACACTTGAAAAAAGGAGACAAAGCAAGTTAAGCATTATCTGCTCCTTTGAATAGACCAGCAGAAATATATAGTACAGTTGTCCAAATCATCCAGCCTACATACATAGATATATCTCTTTCCCTACTCCCTCTCCTGTCCTTCTCCTCATCTCAGTAGCTCTTTATTTTTGAATAAATTCATTCCCTTTACCCAGTATCTCTTTTACCCTTCAGATTCCATCTTTTTTTTTCCAGAACCGGGGATTGAACTCAGACCCTTGCACTTGCCAGGGATGCGCTTATTCTACTGAGCCATCTCCCCAGCCCCTCAGATTCCATTTTCACTTTCAGGTTCTTACACTAAGGAAACAATATGATGTTTGTACATGCAGGTCTGGTTTATTTCACTTAAGAGTATGGTCTCTAGTTGCATCCATTTACCAACAAAAGCCTCAAATTTATCCTGTTTTATAGCTGAATAATACTCCATGGTGTAAAAATGCCACATCTTCTTTATTTCAGATTCAAACTTAAAAAGTCAAAATGGCCACAGAGCCACCATAAGCTAGTATATTTGCTTTTTCATTTATTTATTTATTTATTTATTTATATTTTTAGAGCTTTTATTTAATTTATTTATTTATTTTGTTGGCTCAGCCCACCCTGAGGGTGGGGCTGGTACCTTATGTGGTGCTGGGAATCGAACTGCGGTCCTCTGAGCCTACCTAAGCTTGCCTAAGCAGGCGCTTTAGACCACTGAGCTATCTCGCCAGACCTGCTCTCTAATATAATTGCATGTCTATGGACTTTTTGAAAACTGAGTAATGAATTCTAAATAAAGACCTTAAAGAATGTGCTGCAACATAGCAGTCTTACACTTCTAGTCCATTCACACTCAATCTGGATACCTCATTTAACATTTTTCTTTGGAAAGAAAAAATCTGTATATGGCCAAGCAATGGCCGTGACTCATGCACATGGCCGACACTGACAAAGGATCTACAATCTCAGGTACAGGATCTCAGGATAATTCCTGAGCGAATTTGACTGACCTTATGAGATCCAAAATCGACAACTCTTGTTACATAGGTCTTGCCTTATCTTGGTCTTAACTATCCAGCAGAAAAGTATAAAAACGAAGTATAAGAAGTAAAGCCGGCCGCCGCCGCTGCTCCAGCCCAACATGGCGATGCACAACAAGGCGGCCCCGCCGCAGATCCCGGACACCCGGCGGGAGCTGGCGGAGCTCGTGAAGCGGAAGCAGGAGCTGGCGGAAACACTGGCAAACTTGGAGAGACAGATCTATGCTTTTGAAGGAAGCTACCTGGAAGATACTCAGATGTATGGCAATATTATTCGTGGCTGGGATCGCTATCTGACCAACCAAAAAAACTCCAACAGCAAAAATGATCGAAGGAACCGGAAGTTTAAAGAAGCTGAGCGGCTCTTCAGTAAATCTTCAGTCACGTCGGCAGCTGCTATAAGTGCGCTGGCAGTTCAGGACCAGCTCATTGAAAAGAGGGAACCAGGAAGTGGGACAGAAAGTGACACTTCTCCGGACTTCCACAATCAGGAAAATGAGCCCAGCCAGGAGGACCCTGAGGATCTGGATGGATCTGTGCAGGGAGTGAAGCCCCAGAAGGCTGCTTCTTCCACTTCCTCAGGAAGTCATCATAGCAGCCAGAAAAAAATGCAAGAATAAAAACCGGCACAGGTCAGTGGCAGGGACCCCGCCCCCACAGCTCCGATGACTGTTGGTATGAAGCGCCCTTCCTAGAGCCAGAGAGCTCAGGATGGACAGAAGTCCGTGACTCCAAATGAAACCACCTCATGTTGTAAGGGAGGAGTTGGTGGGCAGTAGAGTGACCCTAAAAAAGGACTCCAGGACATCCTTCCACTGTTGCTAGCGCAGAACCCTATCCCTAACCCCAAGAACATTGTTTAACATGATGAATTTGAAATCCTTTCAGAAGAGAAAAAGGGGGACTAGAAATGAAATCTGTGTAAATTTGAAAAATGACACTAGTGTATGTTGGGGAAAGTGGGATAATCTTTTGTTCCTACTCCTGATCCCTGCCTACTCTTATGAGAATTGATTTAATGTGCCTTTAAAAAGAATTTTAAATACAAGCTTTTTGATCAAAAAAAAAAAAAAGAAGCAAAGCCATGGGTTTATGTTGAGCTGTAGGGGACTCAGGTCAACAATTTATGACATTGCCTGTGAAGTGGAAGCCCAGATACTATTATGGACTACTGGACTCTTTTAGAATATTTTGCTGAGTTAACACACCTGTAATATTCAAATAATGGAACTAAACAAAAAAGGGGATACAGATGAATGTCCATTTTTTATCTGCGTATTCAAAATGGTTAGGATAGATGTATAATTACATTCTCTTAATGAATAGAGGGATTTTTTTCTAATAGAGTTTGTAAATAGGATATCATGTCCTCATCTTACACAGCAAATAACCACTAGGAAGAATGTATGCAACGTGTTAATTCTTGAAACTGTCCTACCAATTTGGTTTGAAACTGTCTCACTATTTGTTTATCAATAAAATTATGGGAAAAAAAGAGAAAAAGTAAAAAACAGAAAAAATCTGTATAATGCTTCATTGTTTTTACTGCAACCTCTCAAGTGGCAGTTTTCTAAACATATCATGCTTGGAAATTCTCAAGTGTCTTTTTGCTGTCTTTGTTAGAAATCCTAGAAATTTATCAGAGAACTGGCTCCAGTTTTGCTCTTCAATCTTAAAATGGATGTTGGTGATAATAGGATGTTTGGAGGATAGTATTGATGATTAGTAAAAGAGAACATAAGGATTATTATTATTAAATAAATCAAAGAAGCACCTCATTTCTGCTGTTATGAAAAAACAGAAACCCTGAATAACTATCTCCACTGAAATGAGTAAACTACTGATTAAAACAGACTACATTCAACTGACAGAGAAGTTAGAAATTTGTAGACCTTCTGCATGTTGAAAATGCATCTTAAACTCAACCATCTCAAACTGAATTTTTGAGCTTCCTCACTTATACCACTATTCCAAGCAGTGTTCCCCAGATTAGAAGATGGCAATTCCTAAAACATTGGGTATCATGCTCAATACAAGACCCCTGATCTTTCAGTCAGGAAATTCTTTTGACTTTGTCTTCAAAACATATTCAGAATGTCATACTCTCCACCACTTCTACTGCTACCCCTTGTTGGGAGCCATGATCATCCATTGGCCAAATTACTGCAGTATATTCCAGATTTCCCTATTTTCACACTTGATACCTATAATGTATTCATATTGCAGCAACAGCAGCAGCAAGAGTGAGCCTTTCAAATCCAAGTTAGACTTTAACATTTATTGCTCACCTTCCAGAGGCTGTTCTTGTCTCTCACAGTAAAAGCCAATGTCTTCACAATGCTTCATGAATTTTTTTCTTCCCTGGGCCCTGTCCTTCCATGGCCTAACTTCCTTTGTCCTAGCTACATTGACCTCATTGCCACTTCTAGGGCATGCCAGGTACACTTCTGCCTTATTCTTTGCATTGGCTTTTCCTTCTGCCAGGAATATTCATTTTCCAGAGTACGTAAATTGCACTGAAATATAGAGATTACACAAGTTGCACTGTATGTGCATTTGCATGTACACACACAGCACCACCACCACTATATCTTCAATGCATCAGAGAACCTGAAAGCTAACAAGGTAGTAAAGAATCATTCAACAAGTGTCTAGAAAAGATTGAGCTACCTTTCCCTGGTTGGTAGAAGAAATTGCTGAACATTAAAGAAGCTTCCAGGAGGCTGAGCAGTATTTTCAGTAGTCTTGGAATGCCAGGCAGACAGAAAGCCAAATCTTTAGCTCAGCAAAGTATATGTATCCAGGGAGATTTTTATATAAGGGAAAATGAAACTCCCAACCTGAAAGATACTTGGGAAGAGTTCGCATTCTCTAAAATCGAAGGATGAATTTTAGGAACAAAAAAAGGTTAAGAGCAGAATATTTTTTAGAAAAATTTTAAAAAGAGCAGAATAGGGGCCGGGGAGATGGCTCAGTAGAATAAGTGCTTCCCTGGCAAGCGCAAGGGCCTAAGTTCAATCCCCGGTTCCGGAAAAAAAAATTATATAAAAAAAGAGCAGAATATATTTTTTGAGTAAAGAAAGCTCCTGTCCAAGTGAGGGACAGAAGAGGGGCTGGAGCAGGTGGTCCCCAGGAAACTTTCTCTTCCAGGCACTTTTACAGAGTAAAACGATGCAGGCGTAAGGTGGGGAACATGGGAACTCCCTTAGGTAGGCATGAGGTGGCACAAAACTATAATCAACCAATGAGATTACAAGCACCATTGCTTAGGTAAAATTGATTAAGTTCAGGACCAAATGGGGAAGTGAGTCACATAGCAAGTGGTCATGAATATAGAACAGGAGTTTATCTAGTAGCCAGCCGGTAGCAGTTGGATTAGTGACTCTTCCTGGCTTCTTCAAGGTGATGATCAATCTGGATGTTTATCTTTAGGAAGGTAAGCATTTGTTCGATCTTTGGTCTCTAGGTCTGGCCCACAGCAGGAGCATCAGTCTCTCGCACAGTTGGAACGTATCTTGTCTTTTGTGCTATCTCCTTGAGGGGCTAGCTTTGTCTTACTGTCTATAATATTTCTATGTAATTTAGCTGCCTATAATAATTTTGGTCAACTTCCTGCTTGGTTTTGGCTGCATTTTAGCATTAACAGTGAACTGCAAGAGAACTCAGGCATGTGTGCATTTCAGCCCAGCTTCAAATTATCTCAGGCACTATAAAGGAATAAAGTTATGTACCAGTAGTATCTTTAATGTCCCAGGTACCAGGCAGAAGCGAAGAAATGTTCTTTGAGAAAGATATCGCCTAGGATCCAAATTATTTCTGTATTTTTTCTAATACAATCAATCACACAATAAAAAATAATTAAGCAAGGAAGGAGAAAAGAAAGTATGAACACCAAAGAACTGATATAACTAGCAAAAGTAAAAATAAACACATTGCAATCTAGATGTGATGGTACATGCTTGTAGTCTCAGTACTACAGGAGGATTTCAAGTCTGAGCCAGCCCAGACAATTTAGCAACTTAATGTGAGATCTTATCTCAAAATAAAAAATAAATTAGAAAATCAAGGGTTAATCTCTGACAAAACTAAACAAAAGAAAGGGGATACAAATGAAGGACCATTTTGTATCTGTATATACAAAATAGTTAAGATAGATATGCAACTACTTTCTCTTAATGAGAAGAAATATTTGTACTAATAGTGTTTGGACAGGATATGTCTGCATCTTGTATTATGAATAACCACTATGAAGACAACAATAGGCAATGTATTAATTATTGAAACTGTTAGTAATCGGTTTTGAAATTGTTTCATTGCTATTTCTCAATAAAGTTAATTTAAAAAAAAAGAAAATCAAGGGTTAGCGATGTCACTCCTTAGGGTCAATCCTCAACACCATAAAAATAGTGATCACAAAAATATGGAAAAGTTGTAACTCACCAGTATTTAATTCCTTGATGAAATCATTGAGAAATGAGTTTAATAGAAAAAAAGAAAAAGTTGAGAACTGTGTTTAAGAGGGGGAAGAGAACAATTTTATTTTTAAAAGTGATTCTCCTACCTCAGCTGCCCAAGTAGGTGGGCCTACAGGCCTGTGCCACCATGCCTAGCTCAAGAAAGCAATTTTAGTTTATGAAAGTGAATTTGCACATTTGTAAATTAATGGATATGTAAAGTTTTTGTGCGTCTTAATCTTTTCCTGTGAGACATTCTTTTCTGAAAGTGTTTTAAAATATCATCAAGAGCCTATCAATGCAGGCTGATTTAAGGAGTTTTGTGATGGAAATCATGTAATTAGGGCTAATCTCCGGGTGGTTCCTCCAGGAATAACTTCTCAGAAAAGTCATACATAGTCATGTAAATGATACAAAGGATGTAGACCAGCAGGATGTACTGTTACAGAGATCTCTTTATTCTTTACTCATCCTATTGCTGTATTGACCTCACTAAAAGCTCTGCAAATGGGGGTGAAGTGTCAGTGTTGTGCCCCAATTTTTTTTTTTTAATAATGTGGCCTCAAGGTCCATTCATTCATGCATTTTTGCATGCTTTTTTTTTTTTTTTTTTGCATGCTTTTTGAGACAGGGTCTTTTTGTAGTTTAGGCTGGCCTTGAACTCACTAAGTAACCCAGGCTTTACTTGAAGTCACAGTGATCCTCCTGCCCCAGTCTGCAGAGGGCTGGGATTACAGACATGTGCTGCCACACCTGGTTTGTGCCCCAGTTCTAGAGGGGAGAAGAGATTGCTGTTTTCAGTTGCTCTTAATAAGGAAGACACAGTTAAGTTTGTAAAATAGGTTATATTTTTACAGGACATAGAGACATGTTGTTTGCAACTTTCAAATAGTTTTCTAGCCACTTTTTCTTTTTTTTTCAGAATGAACATGTTAATTGGGTAGATGTTGGTGGGGCCTATGTGGGACCAACCCAGAACAGAATCTTACGCTTGTCTAAGGAGCTGGGAATTGAAACTTACAAAGTGAATGTCAAGGAGCGTCTTGTTCAGTATGTCAAGGTAAGCCTGACTTTTTTTACCCAACTGACTGGTGTGGAAGCATTTTATTTGAGAAAGCGTTGGGTTTATTTTTGTTACTGTTTTTTCTGAAACCTATAATTAAAAAGTTTCTTGCCTTTAAAGTAGTATTCTACCTTTATTTTCTTGATTTAAAAAAAAAATTAAGGACTCAGAATCTGAGAAGGATCTTGCCTCAGATTGATCCTCCTCTCTTTTGCCCCCTATGGTTTTTACTAGTTGTTCCCCCTCCTTTTAATGCATTTGAGTGACACAAGCACTGGAAGTTCCTGCTTTGAAGCACGCATGCACACATGTGCGCACACACACACATATCCTTCTGCGCCTCTCTAGTTCCAGGCAATAGGAGACAGCTCTAAGGTCCTAATGAATACAATTGAGAGCCCTTCTTTAGCCTTTGAACTGGTTCTTCCTTTACATTCTTATCAGCATTTCTTTGAACACTTTGATCATTTCCTCTGTACCTGGCTTTGATTGTTGAGAAGTTTAGTGCATTTTTCAACTGTTTAAACAAGAGATTGTTTAAACTGGAGCTGCTCATATCCATCTAAGAAACAGCAGCTGTTACCACTGTTATTTATTCTCATGGAAGCCAAACATGGAATAGCTAGAGTCTGGACACCTACCCTAAGAAGTCAAGCTTCCTATCTGTCATTTCAGTCCATTTCCTGGAAGTAGTGTCACTAGGGCAGAGGCAATTTATGTATTTTAATGGCAGGATTGTCATGCCAGTAACCACACACTTTTCAACAGAAACATTTTCCACTGATTCTACTGAAAGCAGCCACTATGGATCTGGAGGCTACAAGGCTTTTTGGAATGTGCTGGGAGTTAAGGATCTTTGTGATGTATGCATACTAATGGAATAAAAAAAATCAAGAATCTTGGCAAATTGATAGCCATGTCATTCTGGATGCTTGAGAAAGTGGCAGTTTGACATATAAAAGTAAACCTGTAGCCTCTAGAAAGCCTGTATGTCTTAGTTACTGTGCTGTGCTAGGCTATCCTATCCTGTCCTATCCTGTCCTATACTAGCCTATCCTGGGAAAAGAATCTTGATGAACATGCTAAATTACCCACAGCTAAGCTCAGTCTTGTCATTCTTTGTTCCTCAGCCTCTCAGACAGCTGGGATTACAGCCATGCAATATTATGCATATTAATTTTTATACTTCTTTTATTTCTCTCCTAACTTGTGAGCCTATAGTGTTATAGTTTGCATCTAGATTCCCCCCAAAAGCCTCATGCAGTCATTAGGACAGGCTTTTTCTAAGGTGGCTAAATCTGGGATGTGTGATTGATTCATAGTATGATATTAGGATTTAGGGTGCTGGGATTAAGGGTGGGTAATTGCTGGATCAGTCCATTGATTGAAATGGTACTGCTCTGGGGCTGGAGAGATGGCTCAGTGGTCTAAAGCACCTACTTGGAACAAGCTTGGCAAAGCACAGGGACCACGGTTCAATCCTCCAGCACCACATGCCGCCCAGCCGTGCCCCCTGGTGGGCTGAGCTGGCCACACACACACACACACACACACACACACACACACACACAAAATAAATGTTAAAAAGAAAAAAGAAATGGTACTGCCCTAATCCTGATAGATTGGATATAATATAAGGGGACAGAAAGAGGTTTGTCTTCCCCTTCCACTTGTTGCTTTTGCTATTTTCCATTGCCATGAACTATTGCCCTCCTGCCATGTACCACTCTGCGTTGAAGTCAGCGGATCATGAACTGAAACCTCTATGAACTCGTAGCTAAATAAACCTCTCCTCCCTTAACTTGTTTGTGTTGAGTATTGTCTCAGCAATGAGAGAAAAGCATAGCATAGCATAATGTAAGGTAGCGTAGCTTGGGGTAGCATGGCATAGGATAGGGTAGCAAAGCATAGGGTAGAACAGGATAGCATAGGATAGGATAGTGTCTTAGTTACTTTTGTTTAGTTACTTTTGTTTAGTTACTGAAACAAAATACATTGCACCCAAAATTAAGGAAGGAAAGGTTTATGTAGCTCACAGTTTGTGGAGGTTTTAGTCTGTAATCAGCTGGCTCCAAGGCAGAGTGGCACATGGTGTAAAGGCAACAGTTTATGGCAGCAAGAGATATAGAAGCAGCAAAGAGCAAAAGGGGTACAAACCAACTCTTTTCCTACCTTATATTCTATACAAGCTGCCTGCCATAGGGCAGATGTAGCACTTCCATCCCCAGTCCCAACATCAACCAATCTCAAACTCTAGATTTAACCACCTCTAACTAGTATACCCTGCTATGACTGCACAAAGATTTGGGGAAGACAACCAGACACAAACTATAACATTCTGCTCCTGGCTCCCCAAAGACTCATGCACATCTCTTTATGCACAAGGCATTTAGTACACTTCTAAGAGTTGCCAAAGTCCAAACTTTCATCATTGCTGAAAAGTACAAGTCTCCTCCAAAGTATAAGGCAAACTCTTAGCTGTGAGCTCCTATACAAATGAAAAGAAAGTTAAACACTTCTAACATTCAGTGGCACAAGATAGTCATTTTTATCCCAAAAGTTACAAACAAGCTGATACAAAGGAATGGGACCAAAGCAGGTCCAGAATCCAACAGGACAGACATTAAATCCTGTAGTACCACATGCAGTATCCAACGCAATCTGTGACAAGTTGTGAGCTCTAAAGGGCTTGGATAGCTCCATCTCTGTGGTACTTCTGGTGGTAGTAACTCCCATGACTTCTTTCTTTAGGCCCACTTTGTTCCCACCTTGCAGCTTTCTTTAGATATTCTACCTCATGGCTCCTCCAAACTTCTGAGGTCTCAACTGCACCTTTGGCATCACCCTCACAGCTTCACACACTACCTTCTCAGGGGCACACTGCCTGGCCTCCCAGGTCTTCTGAAATCAGAGTTTTCTGAAATCTTTCAGGTCTTCTGAAATCTTAACCCCACAACTCTTGCATTCAGTATGCACCTAAAACTAGCACCATGTGGATGATGCTAAGGTCTGCAGTCAGCTGGAGCAGTAGGCAGGCATTTCTCTCTTGGCTATAGGGGTCAAATGCCTAGATTGCTGGTCATTCTGAATCCAGTTCTGAGGAACAGATTCTCTATGCCACTGCCATTCTAAAAGGGTGGAATTCTGCTTCTGGTGATGCCCTTGGGCCATCATTTTTATTCTCCTATTCCTTTGCAGCAACAAGATCTCCTTTGCTCTACATTTATAGTCCATAGCTTCACCAGAGCTTCCCTTCTGACCAAACATTTTAAATCATTCTGCTATGACAAACACCAAAACAACAGCTAGGATTTGTAGGCAGATTTATTTTACATCAATGGTCATTGATTAGGGTCATTCTGAAAATATCAGGGCTTGATCTCTGGTGGTCTAGGGTTTATATGGGATAAGCAAGCCAGAAGTACAGAAGCAGAAAGACTTGTCAACTGGGGATTGGTTCCTACAATATATGTCATAGTACCACAGCTATGTATCACAATGACCAGCCATGTCTAAGAGACAGAAGCAACTGGAACAGGAACTATTACCTGGGCAACTAAGAAACTGAAGTGCAGTGGCTGTGGGGCCATTTTCTTTTATAATTCTCAAGGGCTCTCTGCTCTTGATTTTCTTTTAAATTTTATGTGTGTGTGTGTGTGTGTGTGTGTGTGTGTGTGTGGCCAGCTCAGTCCACCAGGGGGCAGGGCTGGCTGGCATGTGGTGCTGGGGGATTGAACCGCGGTCTCTGTGCTTTGCTGAGCTTGTTCTAAATAGGTGCTTTAGACCACTGAACCATCTCACCAGCCCCTCTCTGCTCTTGATTTTCAACAAAGATCTAGCTAAATGCCCCCAACAGCAATCATGCCACAGCCTCAACATTAAACTGCTTTGAAATTTCCCTTAGTCTCAGACAGAGTCTATGAACATGAGCAAAATGCAGACAATCTTTCACCCAAGTCATAACACACATCCTCTGGAGTACAGCAGCCAAGGCAGTCCTCAGCAGAAACCTCTCGAACCTGGTCTTTATTGTCAGGATTTCTACCAGCCTTCTGGATCTTTGTGCTCTGACAAGAATCTCCTATACAGAACAGCCTAAGGCATTCTAGGTCTGCTCTTTCAGGTCACATTTCCGAATTTTACCAGTCTCTTCCCACAAGCCATTCCAAAGGCTCTTTTTTTTTTTTTAATAAAGGAGGCATTTATTTAAGGTACGGTATCCACAGAGCAGATAACTTTTGAACTGTTTCAGGGTTAACCAAGTTCATAAAAATATTTTGAAGACAGTTGCACTTCACAGACTTCACTAAGTGATTACTTCTTTGCCCATTCTTCTCTTTCTTTTCTTTCCCGAATAACCTCTTTGAGATATGGCTCAAGGTAGAATTTATCCTCCTCATATTTTGCCCACTGCTCTTTAGGCAAGATCTGATGCTTCATGCTCAGGTCCAGGGCTCTCTTAATGCGAAACATCCTGTCATTATAAAGGTTTTCTGGAAGCCTTCTTATGGCTTCTTTTACATCTTCATCTTCATATATTGTATCATCTCGCATTAAGCCCAGCTTATTGACCCCTGCAGCATTGTAATACCACTTCCGAATACCTTCCAGCCACCGGCTTGTTGCTGCAACAGCCGGGTGGCCCACCATCTTGACCCTCCAAAGGCTCTTGAACCACATGTTCAGATAGAGTCACAGCAATGATCCCACTTCACTTTATTCTGTCTTAGTTACCTTTCTATTGTTGCTGAGACAAAATAGCCAACAGCCAAAGTAAAGGAAAACATGTTTATTTAGCTTACAGTTTGTAGAGATTTCCGTCCTTAATCACCTGGTTCAAAGGCAAGGTGGTATGGCAGAGGGGTAACAGTTAATGGGAGAAACAAGCCCTTTTCCTTCCTTATATTGTATGCAGGTCACCTGACCTAGGGCTGGTGTAGCATTCCTACCCCTAATCCCAACACTATGTAATGAACCAATTACAAAATCTAGATTCA